AGTTGATTTATGAGCTCAGTAAACAGTTTCCTGATGAGTTTATGGTCCCAATCTCTAGTTTCAAGCCTTCTTCCATACAGCATGATGTTCATTTAGTAAATTTCAAATTTCAAATATGGATCCAGATTACTGTGTTACTGTGTTGCCTATTTCCACCTTAAATCGTTTCATAAACATATTTTAACTGTTTATCTATGATTTTAATATATATCTTATATGATGTTACTACCTGGAGTTTATATTTTGGTTTTTGTACAGATTAGCCGATAGGTGGATTTTGTTATCTTTGGATAGAGCCAGGCTAGCTGTTTCCCTCTGTTTACAGTCTTTATGCTAAGCTAAGCTAAGTGTCTCCTGGCTCAGAGTGACTCTCAGCAACCAAATGTTTTTCCTCCACTCTAATAAAACGTAATAATCTCTTTTATACGTCATAACATTTTGCTATACAACATATAACAGACGGGTAAACCGGACCAAACCTTTTCAAGCTTGAACAAGTTGGTCGACAGCTCTCCGTAGATCTCAGCATTCATTTCACTCTGGGACCTGTGGCTCACAGCATTTCTGCAACGACATCAACCAAACCATCAACCAAATAAATAATAAATAAAACAGTGTGAGTGTATTTAGAGACAATAATGGTGCCTATGGTAGAGAACGGTGCTAATTCTAACCCTGAGCTCACTAATAATGCAAAGTGAATGTGCTAACATTACTCAAAGGTTAAGCTAGCTAAACTTTTATTTGTTAGTCACTCCTCAACCCTTTCCACGTTCATACTCTGGTGTTTCTTATGGTTTTTTTTGGCCTCTCTGATCGCGTCCTCTTGCCGTTCTCTTTGTATTCTTTAACCAGATTTTTTGTGATTTTTAATTCGCTCTTACTCGTTGCGAATGTGTTCCCCCATCGACACCAAGGAGTTCAAACGATGCTCCAGAGCCACAATCTTGAAGGCCATGTAACAGGAGGACAGGACCAGAACACTCACTCTGTCAAGACAAACAAACACATTGAACAATCGCCAAACACGCCCAAATATTTGAAACGCACTTTACTGAGAAATCAAACTATTGTCTTCTCGTATTGCACATAATGAAAGGTTACTCACAAAAACAAATAGATGAGGAGGATGGCGTGTAAAGACATGGGCTGCGAGGACTTGTCTTTGACTGCCCGGGTCGGTTTAGTCGACCCTGTAAAGGAAAAAGAGAAATATTGATCTGATAGATGCTTTTTTTGTTTAAATATATGAGCAGCAATATTAAAATATTAAGAAGATTGATACCGCTCCCGTGTCTGTACGGTAAATATGAAGCAGGAGCCTTGGAGACAGTTAGCTTAGCTTAGCATAAAGACCGGAAATAGGGGGAAACAGCTAGCCTGAATCTTTAATATGACCAAATCTAAATATTTTGATCTAAACTTTCTAGTCTTGGGATCATTTTTTCACATGAAAATGTGTCATAAACTGTAGCATAAATCGATCTTAAGTGGTATATTAAAAGCTAAGTATTACTTAGTAACATCCTACATAAAATCTAAAGAATATAATGATTATTATCTTAAAAGAAACTTTATGACCACCACAATTAACACAAGTTATATTAAATCTGTACAAAACCTAAAGTATAAAAACGACACCTATATACCGTTTTGTCCAGTGTTTATGTTTAATAATTAAATTAATATCATAAAAATACGACTACTAGTCGAGTAGAAGAGT